TGAGGTGTGTGTGTGGGACTTGCCCTATGAATACACACACACACTCTCCTCCCGCTCCCGGCCCTGGGATAACAGCGTGGGTCCCGTGCTCCCGTTGTCCGGGGATGTAGCCAGGGGCCACGTAGTGCTAGAGTACTCCAAAAGTTGTGGCAAGCAGAGACTTCCGGTTGGGGGGCAGGGGGGAGAGGCTGGAGGTGGAGCAGAGCTGGGCTGGCCTTGCCAGCGAGTCCTGCTGGCTTCCCCTGGGTCCTACTACCCCTGGTTCCTGTCATCTTTGATAGGCAGCCCAGAGCAGATAAATATACATTTTCTAAATTTTTTAGGGACCCCGCAGGCCAGATGGAATAGCCTGGCAGGCTAGATTTGGCCTGCAGGCCATATTTTGCCCACCCCTATGCTAGACAATGCTACATCAATGAAAGCAAATTATTAGTAGGAAGATAATGAATTAATCCAAGTACTTAGAAATGAAAAGGTAAAGTACCTCATTTGGATGAGGCTTTTGCTTCATTTAACTTTTTCTATTGTTACTTTTGACCTGAGGGGTGAACAGGTACTTGAGGTCTTGCAGGTTCCTTCCTTCATGATTAAGACATGCTTGGTTATTTACTAAAACTGTGTTTCCCTGAACATAGCAGGCATTAAACAGCAGGAGAGAGTTTCTCTGCTCACACCTCCAAGCTTTTCAGTCAGCCCACAATCTCTAGGCTCTCTCTCAGGTCCATATTCTCTCACACATCAGTAATGAAATGTATCCCTCAACCCTGCATTTGATATGAAACCCCTTGAGGAACTTCCCAGAACACATGGCCCAGCCAAACCTCAAGCATGCATGTGGTACACTTTGGATGGTGGTTTTTCATTGTTCTGGCTATAATTAAAGAAAGGAGCATGCAACTGTTCCATCATTCTGCCTGAATAAAAGCCAGCTATCCAGCACATCAGATTTAATGAAATTATGTGATTACCACTCACCAGCATAACAGTGTTACAGCTCATAACATACAAATCAAGGCTGAAACAAAGCAGAACCTTATCAACGAAAGCAAAGCACTTTAACCCGCTGTAGCTCTTTCCAAAACCCTTTATATCATTTTCCAAAAAATAGTTTGAGTTTTCATTCCAATTTGGGAGGAACAATGATTTTCAAAATGCTAGAATTTCTCCCAGAAAGCAGATTCCACATTTCAACCAGCTATAATTAAACAAAAATTTAGATAAATAATATTACTAAAAGTTGAAATTTAGCATGAAGAGGTACTGAGCACAGAAGTCTGATGCTCACAGTGACAAATTACCTTCAGTACCATACCCGGGATTCCCTGCAAGTCACAGCAGCTATCAATTAGCATACTATGTGCTTTCTGGTTGCTGTTCCACTGGCTAAAAGGCTCTCACAACAGTTGTAGTTGTAGGAACAAATACCATAATACGTTTATTTGCATTATAAGGAGATGAAGCACTAGACCATTAATACATCCCTTGAATGGAAATGGATCACCAATGTGGGTGAAATCTTACCCGACTCAGATTCCAATACTTTGAAGAGTGGCCATCATTAAAGGCAATTTTTCCCCTTGGTATCAGCCCCCCACAATAAAAGGCACGTAACTGGAAATGTGGACAGTCATGAACCCTATATGCAAGGTATGTTTTGAAGAACTGAAGGGTACAATATCTCCAGGTGCACAAAGGCAGAGATAAATTGACTGGATTCTAAAGGATTTGGATTGCACAAGCAGCTGGGAAGCAGCAGTTCAGTGGGGATTAAACATGAAGTTAGTGTTGGAGAAGGAACTAGAAAGCATCGTCTCCTCCTGCTGCACAGACAGGCAAGTGCTACCTCCAGCTCCCTCTGGTGAGGGAGTGCAGGAAGGCCTACAACTGTTACCCTTGGCCAGCAATCCACAGGAACTCATGCCTCAGGAGTCTAACCCAGGAACCCAATTCCACACTGCTCAAGTGAATGAACTGTTGCTATTGACTTTATAGGAGCAGTATGTTGCTATCCCATTGATAGATGGCATAGACAAAGCATAATGCTAGCAGTTAGATTATCATCTGTTTTAAAAGAGCTGAGGAAGTTCTGGGAAATTCCCCACATACAGGTCCCCTCGCATCAATTACCTATTTTCTGCTTACCAATGACAAGTAGAAGGCAGCATTACAGATAACGTAATTGCCACCCTTAAATCTATCTTATCCATTGTTACAGGAATCAGCATTTCTCATTCTATGCTCCTGCTAGAGTTCAGAACCAGGGAGAAGGGGGATGTGCCAGTAGAACTGGAGTGTGGCGAGTTGGATGGAAAAAGGGCCAGAAGGGAGGCTGTAAGGGTCTGCACATCAGTTCTGAAATTCCTGAAGTCCCTTAAATCACACATTCAAATAAGGACAAGGCAGTACTTTGAATTCTCCTCTTTCCTGGTAGGCAGGCAACCTCACACCACCATGACCAGACTTTGTAGGGAGTTTTCGGAGGTGACCATGATCACAAGCTTGCCTGGTCTGCCTCAAGGTTGGATCCCACAGATTCTTCCTGCAATAGCAGCTAAGACTTCCCCTACAGAATTGACACAAAGCATCTGGCTAGCCTTCTTCACGTGAAGGCTGCTGCATTTTAGCATAGTTTAAATAAGGACTATAGATCCTAAACATTTTGGGGCATAGGCAATGTCTAATTCATCAGGTAAGCAAGGTTATTGATGACACTACAAACTATGGAAGTAAGAGACAATTATTTGGAACAGAAGTGAAAATAATCCAGAATGTCTGGGACAGGGCATTAAAGCTAGCTATGTCTGAATGGGTTACAAGAGCAGTATTTGCCATGATATGCAAATATGCTTAATCACCAGTCTTTTTAGGATAATTGCAGAAATATTTATAGGAATTAAAGATGTATGCATCACCAACTTGGGTGACTTGTGGTAGGAGATAGAGGCAAAGTTTGCCAAGGAAAATTGTGAAGCTATCACCCTCAGCCAAAATCAAGTGAAGGCAGCATCCTCCATAAACAGGAATGTTATTAGCACATATCCTGGAAGTTCTTCGTTATGCTCAACTTTTCACCTATGGTAACAGAGATGGCAAGACAGACAGAACTTACCATGCTTAAGATCTGCTACATGATTGTGCACCACTTCCTGGCCGGGCCCATCCACAAACAAGTCCTCAGAAAAGTCACCTAGGAGCATCTTTTATTTAGCCACCTGTGGGGCCTGATTCTTGGCTTCCTGCTGTATGGTCTGCTTCTGGGAATCCATACCACTGCACCCTAGGGTCCTCTGGTGATGTCCCAGAGCTTGCTCACCTACTTCCTCCAATCTACAGAAGGGCACATGAAATGGAAGAATTGAATCTTGCAGGCTCTTCTCCAAAAAGGGAGAAGGAAATTAGTGCAATGTGCTCAAGGGTTTTTGAGGTGTGATAAGGAGTTTCACATGGCAAGCCTGAAGTAGATAGATCTACTGTGATACAACAGCACAGCCATGACTACAAAATAAAGAACAATATGGGCTGGACCTCCATAAGGTTGTTTCCGCACTATTCTTGAAATAAAAAACAACCTTAAAACTGGTGTAAGAGACCAACAGAGACTTACCTCTATAAATGGAAACTTAAGTAGGTGCTGCCGCTCTTACGGCTGCTGCTAGAAGGTAAGTGCCAGGAGAATATTGGTGTGGAAAGTGCTGTGCTCCAAGACATCCCCAAGCAGCCTTCGGTGGCAGGTGCTGCTGCTACTATTAGAGTCCACAAGTGAGACTATCCCTGAAGCCATTATAAAAACTTATACTGAAAGCTGAATAGCTGCCACCAGGGCTTAGGTATTTGTGTCATGAAAAGGTGGTGGAAAGGCATATGACTGAAGCCTATGCCAAGCACAAACAAAACAAGTCCAGCAAGAGGCTGTGGTCACCTATCTTTAAAAATTATTTTACATAGTTCTCTAAATATCCATTCCCTTCATGGAAAATTCCACATCATATAAGACAAAACATTTTTCGGTTATTCAGAATTTAATTTTTGTGGACTCAACGATCCCTGTACAAGGCAAAACGTGATGAAGAACCGTGCCTCAGATTTTAAGAGAGACATGCAGCATCCCGCAAAACCACGTGTTTTATTTGATGTTTTATCTGATGTTTGCAAAAACGAAGTATTGGGCCAAATTCAGCCCTGGGTAACTCCAATGAACCTGGCCAACTGGATCTGCTTGGAAAAGTAGTCAACTGAGCACTCATGTGCATTATGTTTCCCAACCAGCCACAAAATATTGGCCCAAACCCAAAGTCTACAAAGCTGAGTACATTCAACATTATTCCACAAAATGTGATCCACATATGACCCCATATACTGTATGGTGCCAAGAACTGCCTTAACAACGTGCGAAGAACTTTCTACCAATTTAACTCTTAGCTAAATTTAACTCTTAAGCTAAAAATTTTAACTTCCAAAAGAAAAAATAAATGAAACTCATCTAAAAATATTTTAATATAGCAAGTTTTCCTAAAGAACCAATGCAACATAGAAGAGAAGAGAACACCCAAAGTATAACCAACTTTACTGCTTAGTCTGAACAGAGTAAGCAACAGATGCAATAAATGTAAATTTAATCACAATGGATTATTATTTGGTTAGAGTAACTACCGTAGCTAGGACCATGCTGCCTTGTAGTTGTGGCTTTACCGTACCAATACTCAAATTGACCAAGTTGGTTTTACTGTAAGTAAAATATAAATTTACAAAGAGACAAAATAATTTAGTATATAATGTCATATCCTATTCCATGCTTGGTTCACAATGATAAAACTTCAAGACAAGATGAACATTATTTCAGCATTAAGTTCATAATGCCAAAACATACAGAAATTTTAATGCCAATTTACAACATAATACAAAGCTTTACAAGGAGATTTCTCATGTTTTGTTGGCCAAATGAGAATGCTACATAGGGGCAAAAAGCTTTCAAGTACTGTTAGTGTGCATACATTATCCACATTAGGAGGATTTGTTTTCACCTTAAGGAATTGCTGTTCTAAAAGGGATTATTGTTTGTAAGCATAACACAACAGAAAATGAGTAAGTTAAAACCACTGTCTCAAAACATGAGGCATAATATGTCCTACAAGTTATTTACAAACCCTAGATGAGTAAAAATCTTTTCAAAATACAGAAACAAATCATGACGGCTTGAAAGAGCTGAGAGCTTGTGTACTGTATTATATAAAGTAGAATGGTAATGTTGTAGTAAACTTTAACCAGTTAAATGTATATATTTTTAGCTCAAGAATATTTGCCATAACAACATACACTATAATTGTAAACATGAGGACACTGTCAAAGGTTTTATTTTGAAATCTGATTTTTAAAAACTCCGTTCTTGATCAAACTTAGACGCCGGCAAAGTCAGAATCAATTGTATGTTCCTTATTACTGCTCGTTACTTCCTCCATTGTGTATACTCGGGTAGGATTTTCTAAAAGCTCTTAACGTTGGCTTACTTCTGCTTTTAAAATCACAGCTGACAATAGTACTCTTAACTTCTGAGGGAGCAGGGGTTATGGCAAACTTCTGAATATCTCACCCTGAGGGGTTTGCCTTTGCCGAATTGCTCATGAAGGCTAGGTTGCTGGCATTATTCCAAAAAAGGCATGTGGGGAAAGAGACGGGACAGGACGGGACTCAAAACCCCATAACACTAAAAACATTTATTTTTAATTTAAAAAACTCCCAAGAATTAAACAGACTTTGCAAACATGCAAAGAAATATATAGATAGGTCAGACTCTGGTCTGCCAATCTTGAGACTGCCAATCTTGACAGTGTCCTTTCAATTTTCCCTTCTTTGTCACTAAAGGTATTCCCTATATGGTAGATCTGGACTCATTTAGATATAAATCTGTCTACAGAGCAAAGTAGAAAGGAAAAGAACTTGTTGTCCCTGCCGCATGTCTATTTTTTTTCTACTGCAATCTGTAGAGAACTCATGCAAGCTTGGAGAAGTCTCTGAAGGTGAGAGAGTGGTATGTGACAGAACTGCAAATCTTTTGCTTCAGCAGAGAAAGACTTGATATAACCAAGATGATAACAAGAAATCTGTAGCTAAATTGGTCTTTCAAGCACCTTTCTTTCAAATTAAAAAAAAAATGAGTAAGATAGCCTATACTGCAAACTGAAACTCACCTCAATTATTAGGATCCATACTACAGGTCCAGTAGATCTGGACCAGTCTAGCTGAGCTCAACAAATCTGGAAGGGGTCTGTGTGCGTGTGCGCGCACGAGAGAGTTACCCCTGATCCTGAAAGCTGATATGCATCTTACTCTGCCTGATTAGGAGCAAGGGCTAATGTCACTCCTGCCCCCATCATGCATATGCTGCTGCCACTAACAGTCTAATGCAAGTGCAGTCACCCACTGACTGATTAAGACCAATTTAAATCTGCTCAGTGCTGAAATAAAAGCACATAGCAGGAATAACAGACTGGAGAATCTTGCCCATAATCCATTCTAAAAAAAAAAAATAAATAGAAGATTTAGCAGTGGCAGCTAAATAACATTTAAGATAAAACATCTCAACATTGCATTCATTTTGGAGTACACGCAGGAATCTATTGCAAATATTGTGGAAGCCAGTGGAGTCAAGGAAAGGTTAAGGGGAGAAAGGTGGGTTTTCAAGAGTTGGTCCCAACATTAACACCAATGTACAAGACAAAAAGGGACAGAAGATACCATTATTTGTAGCAACACTTAGAATAACCTCCTTCTTAAATTTATATCCTAGCTATACAAAAGAAACTCGTGACTTTGCAGCATGTTGTGAACAGATGTCAAGTTTTTTCCTCGAGAACACATTTTGCAGTCACAAAATATGGTCTATTAAGTTGCAAAGTGCACAAGCTGAAGGCACAGAGTACAACACACACAGGGAAACAGGTCTCCTAAAATGTTGGAGCAGGAGACATTTTTTTAAAAAAGGATACAAATCTGGAATTCAAAACGCCCTGTCAGAAGTTACATTTGAATAGGACCAACTCTTAAAGGTGACGCCATTTTGTACTCAAAAACAAATACTGCAAAGTAATGAATCTTTATTCTTACCTTGAAGTTTTAAAACTAATACACTGACATGTCAGACTAGTTTAAAGAATGTCCATAATAAGAAAAGAGTGCAAAAGATCCTTCCGTTCTAACATTTTTGGAGGAAGCTGCGGATTTTGGCTGCCAATTTCCACTTAGAAAGGATCATTTCTCAAGGCGCATTCCTCAAAGAATCGCAGAGTAAGAACTTTGAGAGACTAGACCAAAGAGTAACATCTTCTGAAGTCATCCCAAGTGTAGCAGCAACTGACATTTTATTACATAAAGAAGAAAGTCCCAACTCCTCTTCTAGGCATAGTTTATGACAGAGCTCCTGAGTATCCGCAGTTTGCAAGCAGAGGCTCTGGATACCACGTGTGCTCCTCCAGTGTCTGTTCTGGCTAGGAATAAAGGCTCATCCAGTACATTCACTATCTGTATCCTCTGGAGCTTGCACATGCTGATGAGCCATCTGAAACACACAAAGAAGAAAAATAGGTCAAAGAAAACTCATTTTAATTTTCCTTCCACTCTTACCACTGCCTTTTCCTAAAAGACCCTAAAGCATTGCGTTACCTATAAAAACAATGTACACAGAAGTGGAAATGGCAACTTATAAAAAGAGTCATTTCAGGCAGCATGCCCTTCTGTGGCTGAGCCTGGCACGGTGGGGCTGGTGGCTCCTCTTCCCCCAGCACCCTCCCTCCACTCCCTACCCTTCACTCTCCTACACACAGGCGCGTGCCCCCAGCAGCCTGAGGGAGGATGCGTAAGGGCAGGCTGGGCAGAGAGGACGAGCGCGGGTGGGGGGGGAACCTGCCAGGCTTGCAGTGGTACAGCAAAGGCTGCAGAAGGGGCTTTTCCCCCATCCCTAATAGCTCCTCCCAAGGGCTCTTCAGGCAGCATCTGTTCCTGAGTCTCTTGAAAGAGCCCGGAGCAGCAACTTAAAATAAATATAGATTTTTTTTTAAAACACTGTCCCCATGTGCCACTAATTGGCAGGCATGCCAGGGGTTGCCTATCCCTATACTATAACATATTTTAATTTTATTCCAAAAATACTGTTGTCCTGATTTATTTGTCTTTGTGTAGTGTATATAGAGATGATTGCATAATAGCTCAAAAATAAAATCTTACTCTTGTATAAAGTGTGTGCGTGCGTACGTGTGCGCATGCAAGATGGGAGGGCATGGTTGTGTGCGCACGGGGTGTAGGGTATGATGCACAGTGTGTATATATGTGGGGGGTTGCGGGGGCAGGATGGGGGTGTAAGGG